ATTAGGTACTTGTGAAACCTGACGCAGAAAAGCTTCACAAAATATATAGCGCTTTAATAAAATCGTTGACAGCCGAAGCATAGCAGCCAGTCCCACAATGCACAAATTTGTCATCATTACGACTTTGTTGCGCGCTGAGTCATTGATTAAATGAGTTTTAAATATTAAAATAAAATTTATAGTTACAAAAATCCTAAAGCCACCAAAAGTGAGCTTAGTGCCCATTAAGTTGCTCATGTTTTTATTTTTTCTTTTCTTTTTTTTTAACTTTAACCTTCAGTTTCAAGAATTTCGTTTGCTTGTATTAAACAATCTGGCGTTATTTTTATAAAATAGTTTTTAAAAACGCATTAATTTAACTGCTTTAACTACAGGATTCATTCGAGTGCGTTGCGAAAAATAATTTCTGCTACAGTTGATGAAAAACAACTATTTTGGTTCCAAAAGCTAAGCTGCTAAAAAAAATTTTAATGTCTGTGAAATGAGTTCTACTGATTAAAAAAAATCTAATAATTTCATTGTAGCTAGCGTAATATATTCTTTCGAACGGATGATTAACAGTCGGTTGTTTTTAGTGGCTGAGTATGATTTAACGTTCAATGTATCATAGGCTATTCGTACGCCTGAGTATGTCAAATAACTGAAGACTCGTACAAGACCGGATTTTAGAGCATATTGCAGCGCCCTTTGTTCAAATATCCCGTGAGGGGGGCAATTGTTTATGCCACATTTCCATAGTATCTGAACACCTGTGCCGTCAGATGCATTTCGCATCATTTTTTTGTTAGAGCCACCTCGCGCTCATCTCGAATGATGCAGCTGGTACTTCTTACTTGACACTGGGGAGCACCGGGGTTGCAATGCGCTATGAAATCTTATCAGAGGAGTCATTCGTGATTTTACCCACTTGAGAGTATGAACAGTTTTGGATGTTTCTTGACAGCATATAAATGATACCAGCTTCTAAAACATCGATCCTGATTCATCTATGCTGGAAGGCTTTGAGGTAACTACGCAATCGAAAGATTTAACCGTGGTTTTGAATATAGGTTTACTCACTTTTCGTCCTTACGACTTACATAAACGAATGACAGTGCGTGAGGAAACGGTTACGGCTCACAAGTTCGATTGTTGCGCACTTGCGGGCGGTACCTATTTAATCTCTTTGGTGATGTCATCTGAATCAGGAACAGTTCTACAAAAGAAAATTTTAGCAGTGATGTCGCCAATGTACTTTAATAGGGGCGCTAGTACTGGCCCAGTTCTCCTACTGAATTAGTCTCCAGTACAACGCCTTTAGCTAGAAACGGCGTTTCTGCTACGTCCACACCTATATGAATAATATCACATGCAGCTTTTCATATTTTACAACGTAGTTGTGGGTGTTATTGCGGGTGTCACTGCCATTTTAAACATCAACCATTGCTGGTCATGCACAGCATTACGATGGTACGAATATGTCATCGAGTGCCAGTGACGATGTGAATGCGACATACTGAGCTTGTGTTTCATTTGAATTGAGCCGCATGGCTTGCTAACGATATTCTGAAAAGTAGCACATGAATTCCGCAATAGGTACTATTTTGGGATCCAGAGCAGATCCACTTTCGCGCTAATATTCATTCATCAGATTGCACTCGCAGAGTCGCATTGGTGAGGAGGGGGAGACCACTGGTGCTGTGCAGAAACGCTAGACTATGCATGCAAAGTCAGGTTTGGGTTTGAATTACAAACGTAATTAAATTTATCTAATTAATTGCTGATTTTCTTGAGCAAGCGATTTACCCCGCTCAACTCTTGTGAAGCTCGCAAACAAACAGGTGCAAAGTCACTAGTCTGCGAACAATTTACTTATAACTAGCACGTGGCATGGTTCTGTCAGAGCGTGCGATATAGACGGCTACGCTGCACGATGTCTTGGCTTACAGCGGCAATTTAGCAGCAACAGAAGCAACAGAGTTTACACATTGTGACCAACGCGAATTGCAGCCCTATGCAGCACCTGTATCACACCGCATGGTCAGCCATTTTTTGCATACTTATTCTGGTAGAGCCAAACAAGTACAGGGTACTGACTCTATTGTTCGCAAGACAGTGACTTGTCGTCCGTTCGGCTGATTGCGTCAAAGCAAGGTGGTATTAGCAGTACCGAGAATTTTTTTTCTTATTTAAACCCACCGCGCCCAAATTCATCTTGATTCATCAGATGGCTGACTTAAATAAGACCAAATTCTCATTATCCTCAATCCTCACAGGATGAATGGATGAAGAC